AAATTTATTATTGGCTAGAAAAGAACGTTTTTCAGCCTTTACTACGCGCTCATTTAGAATGTGGGAATTTGTTTTTTATCAATCCTCCTTGCATATTTTTTTTATTGCGTTTATTTATTAACTTTCACTCGTTTCTATAAAAATAAAACCATTATTGAAGTGCATATCTCTTGAACAATGTTAAATAATAATAATAATAATAATAATAATGCAAATTTTGCTTCCCTTCAATATTAAAAAAAAAAATCTGAAACATTCCGAGCTTATTAAATATCTAGTACTAATTACTCAAAAATCTATTGTGTTCGATAATTATTTACAGGTTGTACAAGAATTGACATATAAAGGTCGGAATCTAGTGATGCTTGCAAGGAAAAAGTATTAGGAAAGTAATAAAAAATTTTATTACTATAAATGTTGTTTCGTTATAGCCACATAAATTTATACAAGAGCAAGCTTTATGTACAAATGTATTTGTCAATAAAAAAAAAATAGTGCCGCGATAAATTGCGCCTAAAAGTTGGTTTTGACAATTAATTTGTACTAAACAGTATTAGTATAAATTCCTTACATCTTTTTCTTTTTTTGGACTAGATTTTTTTCGTAATTGGTTAATAAAAAGCCTTTAATTTTAACCTATACCAAAAAAGGAAAGGAATGCAAATTATCTTTTTTTTTGCCGAATGGCGCTTTGCAAAGCGCCCATATACATGTAGTTCAATAATTATTTATAAAAATTTCAAAATTTGAGTGAACTGTTATCTATCGTCGTGATTTAGCGTCATAGAATTTATAAATGAGCATTCATTAAACCTTTTTAATACTAGCCTAGATAGAACCAATAAAATAACGGTCCCGGTGGGTTATTTATTTTTTTTTATGAATTAAAGGAAAGTATTCAAAAACCAATGAAAAATTTTCCGAAAAACGACCAATGGTCGGCTTGAAATGTGATCTATTTTTTAAACAATTAAGAACGTCTGAATTAAACCATTTTCGTAAAAAAAAAAAAAAAGCGCAGTGAAACTATTTTTTAAATGTATGCACAAGAATCCTAAAAAGATAAAATCATTTTAAAACCGGGCTTGAATTACCGTAATTTGGACATCAATGTAAAATAAATGAAAAAAAAAGGCTTACTAATCGGTAAAATAAATATCTATGCCAAGATAAAGTTAACCAAAAAAAGGAGAACTCGAAAGCATTGAAAGAACTGCATTTTTTTTTTTTTTTTTTTTTAGTAAAATTAAACCCTTTATATCGAATTAAATAGGAAGTTACCTGATCTGCCACTGAGCTTGTACTTGAATTTTTTTTAGAAATGAATGAATGAAATTATAATACAAAAGAAAAAAATACACAATACGAATAAACAATTGGGTTTGGTTATTGGTTAGTTTAACCGTCAAGGTCAAACAGTTTACGCTATCATTAATACCGTCATACCCGATTGATTCTCCTTTTTTTTTATATATATATAAATGGTCGAGAATCACCTTTATTTTCATAACCGACTTATTATAAAACATTATCTATAGTTCATATATTCTTTATCAATTATAAAATATTTAAAGCATAAAAATGTCTAGCCTTACATCTACAAAAAATATCAACATTTCATACCTCAATGTCGAAATTAAAGTTAATATCTTCAAATATGTCAATACTCCATTAAACTTGGCTTTAAGCAGCAAAGAATGGTCAATAATCGCAAGAGATACATATGCTAAAACTGAATGGTTGATACAACAATTCGGAAAAGCTCACGCGTTTTTTCACGGCATTAGGTTGGGACCGGCTTTCATTAATAAAAATGTATGTCAAAGCTTGTTCATAAAAAAAGCCATATTTTCAAGATATTTGACCCAAAAACTAGTAATTCACTACGGATTATATGATCTAAAATTAGTTGAACTTAAGATCAAAAATAATATTGTTGATCGATCCGGAGCTGGATTGGTACTTCATAAATACAGAAACCCATGGGCAGGAAATTTGCCTTTAGAAGTATTTCTTTATTTACTTAAAGAAGGAGCCGTTCGATTTGAAAATCAATATCAGAAGGGGAATGACATGGAATTGTTTCATTATCTTTCAGCAGGTCCTAATGTAATTAATTATGCACCTAATATATTGGAAAAGAATTTTGAAAAAATTAAAGATCTGATTTTAAAGCAAAGATTCGTCCCGTTCCCACCAAGACCAAAACCCTTTCAATTAAATCAAAAAATAGTTGAAGAATATCCACCCAAGGATGGATATGAAAATAGCAGGCAACTTAACGTTATTGCAAGAGCTATACTCCTTGAATCGCAATTAGTGGGATTATGGAAGGAAATAGGATACAACGATATTTGTAGCGATATTAATGATATTGTCTTAGAAGGGGCAATGCTCATCCTTTTTCCACCAACTCCACCGCTTGAATGGATTTGTCCGTCGGTTGATCAAGTAGTAACGCGTCTTAACAATCTTATAGAATTAGGCTTTGACCTAAGCAACAAGATAGTTATGAACATTCTTCAATTGTTTGAACATAGATTAGACGATATAGGAGAAACCATTTGGAATGCATTTACTACAATCAGAACCGAAGAGACAACATTTTCTTTTGTTTTTGGGCTCTTTCGGGAGGCATTTGAGCCTACGAGATGTCAGAGAAAATTATTTATCATAAATTTTCTCAAGTCCAAAACTGAGCAACATGATTTAATAATTAAGCAAATTCTTGAGCAACGTTTTAATGACGAAAATATAGATGATTTCGAATTTAGGTCAAGGAGGAAATCCCTTATTCTTTCACCACAAATATACGAATTCATTTTAAATACGTACGGAAATGAATCCGACTTAACATTAATGTGTTTCAAGGACATACTTTTTTTAAAAATTTATTATGATGACCCACTTAATGCGTCGCTTGCTCAATCCTCAACAACTGAATCAATCGATGCAATTTATGATATTTATAAGCAAAAGATACCAAAAAATATAGAACTGTTGAAACACACAATTTTTCATTCCTAACGAAATCTGAACATCTTTTTATTCATTATTTGATAATTTATATATATTTATCTTATACCGAAGAAAAGATAATGTGCATTAAATTTTCCCTTAGTTAATTATTTCTAATCTATCTTTTCTCCCACTTATCTCCGCTAGACATATAGTTTAATTAGATTAACTAACCGCGAAGGTATATAATTCATACAACAAAATTTTTTTATGAAAATATTTCTTTTAAAGTTTCTATATTGTAAAAAAAAAAAAAAAAAAAAAATTAGTTTACAACACATTTGTTTTTATAAAGAAAAAAATAAACATCGTTTGCTAAAACAAAACTACATGATCCTTCCTAACATGAATAACATCTACACATATTGTTAATAAAGTAGTTTTAAAGAATATTCAATTTAAAAGACGTGTAGCTCGGAACAAATAAATTCCATTCTACCCTACCGACCGATCTAACCTTATCCAGTGGTACAAAATTCACAGATCTACATAGCACAGAATCCTTTACGTTTATCAAAACTTTGCATTTAACACACCACTACCTGAAATTACCACATCAGAAATAGTCGATATACTGAACATTTAAAGGAAGCGTTTTCTTTTTTTAAGATTTCAAGGTTATCAAGAAAGTTTTATTTTTTAACTGCTATTCTATAACAAGCTAAAATGGGCTGTTTTCAAAAAAGACCAAAATGTTCGTAAGAAATACACAAGAGATCAATAATATCATTCAAAGTAAATATGTTATCACCATCGAATAGTAGGCAGGAACTTTGAACGAATCAAAAATTC